ATGTAATTATATGCCTATAATTTTCTGGAGAATTACACAACATATTTAATGTGTTTGCTTTTCTCTGGCTATTTATATCTCAGTTTGTTTGTTCTTTTGTCTTGTACGGCCTATTTTTTTAATTTTTTTTTTTGCCGACATAAATAAATTAATACATAAATCAACATATATATATAAATACGTATTTAGGCTAATATAAACTCTCAATACAGTGTGTGAGACTCAATATTTGCTACAAAACCCATGTGGTCATTTTATTTACAAGAAATAGGCCTATCTCCATGGTCTAGTGGTTCTTAAATAGGCGTCCCGTTTTTCCAAATTATTCTTGCCCGCGAGAAAAAAAAAATTTTAAAAACATATTTAAAGAAACTAAAATTAATAACCATTCGATGAATATGTTTTTAAAGTAAAGGCCAAAACACAACACTGGGCCAGTGTGAAGTAGATAACCCCATCCAGGTCTAGAATTAAATTCGTTACTATAAACCAACGACAAACGCCAAAAGATTGGTAGTCTTAAGTTCAGCTAAATATGACATTGTCATGAATTCCTACTTCACGTATTTCCGAGCGGTATAGAAATGACTAGGAATCCCTCTTTGACATATAAAAATATAAAACACAGCTCACAAAGTTGTAACACAACTCAAAAATAAACTTTTATTCTGTATAAACTCCAAGAAGAATCCGGTATCCAAATAATACAATAACATTCACATAAACACGGTTTTAAAAAGAGCTCCAGAAAGATAAAACTATCAGTTTATATGACCTAGCTGTACAACTCCAGAGCATTCAAGAGCATTCTATATTGCATAGGTTCCTCATTGGTTACCTTGCATTATAATTAACCAATTAGACTTATTTGCCTCTAAAGTACCCAATATTCCAGAAGCTTCCATATATTACTCTTGGATTCTACATGGGTGTCATGTGTTCCTATAATTACCAATGTGGTTTACACTATTTATTTGGTCAATTAAATGTTATTCTAGAATGTTCTATGTACGGTATTAAATATGTTAAAGTAAGGCAAGGAATGGTAATTTATTACAGAATAAGCAAAAAAATACAGGGGAAATGCTTTTAGGTTTCAAAGCCCTGGTATTTGGTGGATGATAGGTGAAATCACACAGAAAATACCGATTTTCTGCTAAACTATTAAGTTGAAAAAAATTCGTATGGCTGATTAAAAAAAATAATAATAATAAAATAAAAAAAACTGTGTTTTTTTTTTTTACGACTATGCCTGTAGATTTATGTTTGGTTTGGAAATAGTCCTACGGGATTACTAGGCCTATTACCAGGGATTGGACGACGTCCGAGCAGGTAACAATTCTGGTTAGGCATCGAAGCAAGGTCAATATGATAGAAAAAAAAAATACCTAGGTTTACACTGATAGGGGGAAAAGCCCAATTCAGGAAACGTACTTCGCCCACGGTACACTTGCACAAAGAAAGAAAGACATGACAAGTTCTACTACAGGTACCAGTCACCGACAACATAAACGTCCAGCGACCCTGAAAAATATTTTTGGCATGAATATATGCTTTATTTTTTTAAATTTCAAATCTGTATAAGTCTGCTTGTTATATGGCCTATATGCCAATATTCGAGGACTGCTTTAATTGTGGCACTTTACCACTTATTATCATGCGTAAGTAATTAAAACCGTCAGTTCCCAGCAAACTCAATTTTTTGCGAAAATCGAAAGTGGTGGTGCCACAGTTGCAGAGGCAGATTCCCCAATGAACTCAACACACTCGTTAGTAAAAAGTCATATGTAACATGAGGCAGGGCCGTAGCCACCGGTACGGTTGGTCAGGTTTCAACCTGACCACGAGTTAATTAATTAGGTTTTGAATAGGAAAAAAGGGCTCAATTCCACCTGTATGTTTAGACTCAACCTACTCTCTCTTTGACATAACTCAGGAACCGTTAATGATAGTTTCATTATTTTCTTCTCTTTGTGTAAAATTTATAATGACTGATTAAGAAACTAGGATGCATGAATTTTTTCTTCAGTTGAAATTTAGTGTCTATTGGGCTTACCTTTTATCCAAATAAAGTAGGTTAGTTACTACACAGTTTTTGCAGAAAATCAGACTAACGGTTCCATACACTTGCCTAGGACATCACTTCTTCACTAAATTACCAAGCCAAGACAAAAAAAAACATGCCTTTATCTGTATATTTATTCCTGATAGTTCTAGTATGCAACAATATTTTCTATAAATAATGATAATGTAAATATACCCTTTTTAAGCACTTCTCTTAAATATATATCAAGCGCGGATCCATATAGATAGCAGCTTGTTTTGTCGCTGAAGATAAATTT